AAAGCATCAACCCCGTGCAAGAGAGCTCCGTCAACAGCATCACCACTTGAGCCGCCCCGCTCCCTGCCTGCGGGTGTAGTAGAACCACGGCAGTAAACGCAAAGCCTGTCAAAGTCCAAAGCTTGGACTCAGCCCCAGATCCGGCCGCTTGAAACTTAAACGAGCAGGGCTCGCTCACCAGAAGCAGACCACAAACCTGAGAAGTTACAACTCAAATGACCGTCTCCCCAGGAAGCGTTCATTCACTAGCTTAGTTAATGTCTGTTAGTCAGCAGAAGGTCGCAGCCACGTGCAGTATACCAAAGTGGAATCCTGGTGCGGGCGAGACCCCAACCCGCATAGCAACACTTCCCTCCACGTCAAACATCGAGTTGTTTGCCTTGTTTCTGTCCGGCATAGGTGCTCAACTGACGCGATTCCGACCCTCCACTGCCGCGTCGGGTCAAAATGCAGTGCCCGCTCCTGGCAGAAATAATTTCTGACAGTTGTCCCTTTTGACCGTAACTTGTGCATGTCCGCTTCTGTTGCTTCCAACCTAAAGACGTCCGGCGGACAACACTTGAACACACGAAACAACACTCAGTCGTTCGCAGGTGCTCTGATTGTTCGTGCCAAACTCCGTCGTTTAAGCTGGCATGCTGACGACGGTGCTGGTCTATGAGCGCAGCCCGTCGCAAGACAAAGCTAACGCTCGAAGCCAGCGAAGCCCGACGCAGAACAGAGAGGAGCAGAGCAGAGCGGAAGCATCAAAGAGGGAAGTGCGCCATGTTGAAGACGAGTAGCAAACCCTCTTAGTTGTTGCTTCCGGATGTTTCCTGGACAGAGACGAATCCTCTGTTGTAATTTGGATTTGAAGGCATTCCAGCGCTCAGCAATTGAACTCGTTCAACCCATGCCGCATCTCACAAGAGCCTTAAGTCTCTTGCTGACGCATGTTGCCTGTATCAGGCATGTGAGACTTCCTTTGTTTCCCTAGTTCTTCAGCAAAGACGAAGAGCGCCGGAATCAAACAGCCTGCGGCAATTTTATTGAAGAGGTTTGATTGGTCAGAGGAGGAAAACAGCACCCTGGAGCCAAACGAGTGCCGCGCAAACAAAGCAGGATGGGCATTGATGACCCGTGGCCTTAGGAGGCCAGGTGCAAACTCACGGTCTTCTGGCAGGCAAACAAAGATCCCACCCAAGTGCTGGGGCATGCGCAGAGTCGGTCGATTGATTTTGAGCCACAGACCACCAAATGCAAAAAGGCCCATGACTAGCAAGAAGGAGATGGAGTAGATAGCAGACAACCTGAGGAAGTTCAGTGTGCAGGCGGCCGACCGCGATAAGAGCGTGCACTGAAGAATTGCCAAGAGCATGCTTCGACGGGGCTTCCCAAGGGCAGCACAAGGTGATGTCGCCATCCAGCATCACACACATGGATGAGCACACGGCAAAGAAGACCAATATGGTGTAGTGCCTTTGTGGCAAACGGATCGTGAAAAGCGCAGTCTCCCGGACTGTGGCCGCTGGCGGAGTGTTTCTCCAGGAGTTCGTCTCACTGAAGAATTCCGGCAGGCACCTTCGGAAACGAGACTTTCGGCAAAACTATCCCCCCTGCTCACTTCCTGCAGCACTCGAGCCAAATGATGGGCAGGTGTGTGGTGGAACAGGTTGTAACGGTTGTAGCGGGCGGCAAGGGTTGGCTGATGTTGGCTGGGTGTGTGGTGGGCTATGTTTCGGGTTCCTGGCTTGTCTAATGTCACAGATTTCGACCGAGGGCTTTGACAGGAAATGGGATGGAAAGGTGGGGTGGCATCGTCAACATACGTCAAGATGATGCATGCGGTGCCGTGCAGCTCCGATACCAAGCCACATCAAAGCACTCGACCAGTGTTGTCGACACCTAAAGCACTTCCTGCCGTAGGATCTCTACATCAACGATATGGCCACTAGCGAAGCAAGACCCCCTGAAACACATGCCCATGAATTTGTTTTTCGTGCACCTTTGTTTGCCCGCTCAGTTGAAAAGTCTTCGCACAATCTCAACATCCTACCACATGATGTAACCAATGTTGGGCACAGTAGCACTGATGGCAGTTAAGGTCTCGAGGCTGGCTATTGACGCAATGCAGTCACATGTGGTACCACAGCCTGGGTGGATGGAGATGCTCGCTGTGATGAAGTGGGCAGCGTGTCCATATGCCGTTGCTTCTGTTTTGGTTTTGAGTTTGTTGCCCAGGGTTTCCTGTCCGCCAGTCCTTGGTTGGCTTGAGGCAACTCCTCAGTAGAAAATCGTCAAGCTACTTGGCAGGATTTGTGCAGAGGACTGGGCAGGGCCGGGATGAGAAACATGAAAAGCAGTCTTGGGAAAAAAACGCGCACTGATCCTCAAAACTCGTCAAGCAAAGCGGCTGCACGAGTTCACATGTGTGCTGCGCACTTGTCGATCTGGCTTTCCGGCCTGTCTCCAGCCATCCGTTGGAACAGGCCAACCACCTTGCAATGACTTGCGAGGTTCTACTGGGCAGCTGTTTTTCAAACATCTGCATGCAAGCATCTCAGGAGCAAGCTCCCACATAGCTCGTCAACACAGATCCAGCCAGCACGAGAAGTGCCTTCGCTCGAGCATTCAACATGACTCCAAAGGAGGACTGGTGCTCTGGGACCAAAGGATGCAGCATCAATTGCCACAACATCGCGCAAGAAGGGTCCAGCAACCTTGGCAAAGAAGGCGGCGATCATTGTAGCTGTGGAAATCGCATCCGTTTCGTCATTCGTTTCTCAGATACGAACTCGCTCGGCAAGGAATGCAAGTGCGTATGCCGATTTCTCGCCTGCACAGCGAAGTCTTCTTCGCAAACATGCACCAATGCTTCTAAGTGCATTCTCCGCTTCATGCCTGTCAGTTCGTCAAGGGGTATCACAGCCTGGCCAGCACTCGATCACCATCCAACGCAGCTGCGGCATTCCCGATCATGGCCGAGACAACTGCAGGCGGGCCACCACTGCGAGGCTTGGCAGGACAACGTTGATGACAGAAACACTCATCCACATGTTCCTGAGTGTCTTTGGAAAGACGCCTGCCAAGAGAAGGTGGCACCACATGCCGGAGAGCATGCTCTATGCTGAAGGGCCTGGTTTCTGCTCCTCGACAAAATTCGCCGATGTTTCGAAGCCTAAGAGCAATGCTTCCGAGGGCACTGAGGCATGCGCTGGTGTCTTTCAGGAGCAGGCCAGAGACGCCCAGCATTGCTGATGAGAAACCGAAGAATATCGAGTTCCAGAAAGGAGGCTGCCTCCATTCCGCTGTATTCCGCCGCACATTGACTCCTCTTTTTCTTTTTGGAGCGCCTCTCCCAGTTCAGGTTGTCGTAAAGCTGACCCAGCCCTGCATCCTGTCGAGTTGTGTTTACAGTGAAACGAAACGCAAAGCATTCACCCAAATTGGCAGTGTCCTGGAGGAAGATAACACTAAATGTCCCAAGGATAAAGAAAACCGACCTCACCGAAATTGAGGCATTGCCACTTCAGAACGCGAACGGACCACAATCTTTTGTCCGGCTTGGTTCAGCAAGGGGCAGATGGAAGACAAAAAGCATCGAAGCGACCGCTGAGCTCTCCTGTGCAGTCACAACATGTGAAGTGACCAATCGAGCCTTCCACACTTCCTGCATACCCATTAGCATGCATCCCGCGAAGAAGCCGAGAATGCAGATTGCTGTCGGCACCTCGGAATCTGGTGTGCGACAATCAAACCCCATGTAGGAAAACTCCCAGCATCTGAGCTGCAGGCACTTTCGATGGAGCTGAACATAGGCGAACACTTCAAGTAGTCTGCAGCACTCACTGAAGAAACAACGCCTGTGGCTGTGTACCTCGGTGACAAGTTGTGACAGGCCACTTTCTCGGAAGATACGTTGGCTTGAAGGGCTCGGCTTCGCCACGTATACGTTCGTCTAAAAAATAGACATGCGCAACCCCCTAAGCCTCATACGACAAGATGGTAAGGCAGGCAGCAACGGATGCTGTCCTGATCAAACCGTGGGACATTCAAGCATGTTAAGCTTGAGCAAGACAACACTCGCATCTGAGAACGCAGCTGCTTGGTGGAAGAATTGAGGAGGAGGTTGTAAATGCCTCCATTCAGCGGCAGCGCTGTCACGACCTGCCCAAAGCGAGTGCTGTGCCGAAAGAAAAACCGAGCAAAGAAAAGGATGCTTAGCTGCCCGAAAAACTGCACCTTGAACCTCTAACGGCTATGGTTGCTCCGCGATTGGACGGCTGTTTCCGACGTGAGAAGACAGCTCGACGGTCTCGCATAGGGCATAGTGAGCCCGACTGATTCTTCGCGGTCAGGGGCTGGTCAAGAATCATGTACATGACTTTGCAATTGCAGCGAAAACGCAGGAAGACTGAGATATAACAAAAGGTCAAGAATACCCGACCACAACCGTGTGTTGCAGAATTCAGCTTAAGAGGCTTAAGCATGCCCCTCTGACTTTTGCATGTTCCAAACCCTGCTGGCCGTTCAAGCCGGCGAGACCATCAACCTCCTGCGATGAACAGCAGGTGCCTTGCAAACTGTCCTCTGCCGGTCTGTCAAATGCAAAACACGAAGAGGCGAATTGCAATGCTGACGCGTGCGGAGCAATGGTCACAGAACAACTCCATGCTGGTGCCTCCCCATACACACTGCGAAAGCAGTACAACGTCAGTGAAGAGAGTATCGTGCACACAGGCGAGTACCTGGCAGGAAAGATGAACCAGCTGCGGCTCGAGCTCGGCAGATATGGTCAAGCGTCTGGCGTTCCCAGGCCCCCTCCCCTCCAATGGTATGGTTTGCTAGGGGTGGGGGGGGGTGGGCTGGCGTGTGCGGAAAGGGGTCGGGGCCGTTGGAGCTGCCACGGGATGGTGGGGCCAGGGCTCGCATGCAAGCCCTTCGCAAGCAAGCCGTAAACCCTATAACGCAGCGCGTGCCCCTGTTTGGAGCAGCCTTAACTTGTACTTCAATCCCTACACCCAACCCTCAACCCCACCTAACTGCAGGCTCAAAGCCTAAAGCAGAACATACACCGCAAATCCTCCAAAAGCCCTTGTCGACTCGAAGCGTTATAATCGTAAACCCAACACTCAAAAGCTTAAGCTAAACCCTAAACCCCAAAACCCCACAACCACCCCACAGGGGGAAGAGGGACCCCACCCCCCACACCACAGGGGAGGGGGGGTCCCACCCTATATCCGGACCATTGACCTTTCGGGGGGGCAGCCGCGGAGCGCGTGACCAGATATGGATACCGTCCGAACCTTTGTGAGCTTGGCTTTTGATTTTGGTAAGTCTACAGAACCCCTGAAGCCAACCCTGTCCTGGATGCTGCAGTCATGACGGGGTGTATAGGTTTTGGTATTGGCAAGCAACATGTAAGCCAATGTAAGCGCTCCAAACGTTGAATCTGTTAGTTTTTCTAAACCTCAGGCATCGAACAAGCTTTCACGACTCCCGGCACGGCACTTAGATAATTTCGAATACGCCGGCAGGGGGCAACAGGTTGTCTTGCAAGTGATCCCCAAAAGCTGGCCCTGCACTTTTTCCACGAAATCCTCCGAGTGTCCTGCAAGAAAGCATGAAAGTGTTGAAGCAAGTTGGCAGACCAACATGTTGGCACCAGTACGCTCAAAGCCTTGCCAACTTTCCCCGCTCATATGACTGTAGCGTCAAAAACCATGAACACTTTTAGAAAGAGGCAAGAACAAATTGGGCGGAAGCTCTTCCAATCCCGAATACATGGCAACTGTCACCCACGTACAACCTACGAATTCATGAATTCTCCACAGGCTGCGGAAGCTCATTTCTCTTTCTTTGGAAGTTAACAAAGCTCGCATGTTTCTCTACAGACAAGTTATAAACAGTGTACCGAATAATCAAGCATCAGTAGCGCTTCCACCCATTAATCAGGAACAAGATCAACCTTGTTTGCTCTCATTGTTTCTGTCGACCGCAGAAGGGCTCCCAACAGGTTTGCGAACCATGCATAGCACGAGGGACACTACGACAGTGAGACGTGCTTGTCCCTAGTAAGCTGTAGAACTCCTCAACATTTTCGTTTCACATCCAATACGTGTCTTGTAAGGTTATGTGCACGTTGCTGTCTTCATTACACATTCCTGGCGCGTGGCATCCTGACGTTGGTACCGAATGCACGTATACACACACACACACACACACACCTGCAAGCATTGTCATCATGTATGTGCGTCATGTGCGGAAATACCTGCATGTAAATGTAGGCGTGTCTGTGCACGAACAAATCCACATGAGGCCCCGTCTTCAAGCTGTTGCATCAACAGTTAGACAAGCAGCAGGGGTGCGGCTCAGAAATGCGAGCGAAATACAGGGAAACTCTAGTGACGCTGGTGACAAACCAGAAACTGATGCCATGCAATGCGATTGCTCAAGTTGGGCATGGACGCAATGCATGAGCGGGTTGCACTCCAGCATTCTTGGAAAGCTCCCCCACCACATAGAAACCTGATCGGCCGCTCTTGCTGTAGTCTTTAGCACCACTGGAAGACAGAACTGAGTCCAGCACAGCTGGCGGTGATGTCGTTTCCACATATTGCAGTGCTGGGTAGCTCCCCGATCTTGTGCGAATCATCCTCCTCGACAAATGCCGTGTTCTGAAACGTTCCAAGGTCTTCAGCGTCATGTGAATCTTGGCTCTGCTACTTCGCGCTTCCAGGCTCCTCATGCTCTGCTCCATGTGCACATGGTGTAAACTCTGTCGGCGTCAACTCCAGTATTTCACCTCAAATCAGACCCGGCTTCGACGTAGGTTAAATTGAGATCCACCCAGCTCTCGGCCCATTCTATCTCCCGGGTCACGGAAGTAGCCTTGCAGGCTCGCAGACATGCCAAAATGCATGTCAGTCGTGAACCACGGACGCCTGCGAGCCCTTCCAGCGTCTGTTGACGACAGTTCTGCAAGAAGGCATACGCAGGCCTGCCAGGATTTCAACAGCAACATGCGCGCAAAGTCTGTGCAAATTGTATTTGGCCTGTCTTCCAGTGACCGCTTATCCTCGCGCCTACACGTAAACACGTGAGAGGCAATCTGGTGGATGAAAAAGTTTCCGCAGTCTGGGCCGCGGGCGGGTGTAAAGGTTGGCTTTTCTCCTTTTCTCTTGACACCTTGGGAATTTGCATGGATTCTGAGAAACATCGGCGAACACTGTTGTCCCTGTGGGCAACCCGGAAGGATCCAAGCAAAAATCCATTCTGGACTGTTTGCTTGGCATCGATACCTTGCGATACCTTGCCGACCCTCAAACCTTAACACAACAAACTCCTGAATCAATTGGCACCTGGGAAGCCACCGCGACGACACAATCCGCCGACACCCGGGCAAGGGTAGAGTGGTTGGCGTTACATGGCGTTACCCCAAGCTTTCTATCGCCAAACCTCTTTCCCATGTCCCCTTCCCTGAACACCCTTTCTCCAGTCCCGCAACCCTCCCCCCACGGGCGTTCTTTGTCTGAACCCCTCAACCTGTCACCGTCTCATCTCCAGCGGGGCATAGTGTCCAAGAAGCCGAGCATTCGACAGCCTCCTCGTGGCATTCAACTGTGCCAATCTGACCTCCTTCTTCAAAAGGCAACTGCCACCAGGACTCCCTCACCCCGTGCCCCTCCTGCCAACCCCCAGTGCAATGCGAATCCGAAAGAAAACGGTTGAACTTTTTGCGGTCTTAGCAGGAGCCAAAGGAGAGGTGGGGAGGACCGGACCAAAGGACTGGGTCATGTCCCATATCGGGACGGGCTTAATGGGAGAGGGTGAGAGGCGGGGAGGGTCCAAAAAGAGGTGGCCATGCAAAAGAAGGGAAAAAACTGGAAGCGGAGGTGATGGAATGAAGGGTTGATTCGGGGTGGAATGTCACCGGCCCAATGGGAAACAAGTAACAAGGGCGAGACGGGCGATCTGGGAGGTCCATTTGAAAGGAGAACAGGGTCGGTGAAGGCATGGAGTGCTGCTTCTGGATTCCTGGCAGAATCATGTTTGTGGAGGTCAGGCCCCGCACCCCCAACCCCAGTGCAAAAACTTGCCCCCTTCCCCTCCCACCGACGTCAGAGCTCTCAAAAGACCTACAAAGCAGCTGAATCTTCAATGCAAAGCTACCGAGGTAACAAGTTCCAACTTTGTCAAGTTATTCCGACGACTGCAAAGGTCGGGAGTTCGCGGGAGCGGTGGCTTTCTGCCAAGTCTACTAGACGGAGCTGCATCTTAGAAAATTTGTCTTCAAGTATTCAAGAGTGCGCTGCGGCTGCCACCGGACATGTCACTGAATGCAGGAGATTCCTTCCATCAACCGACACATCCACGCGGGTTCTGGGGACCCTCAGCCAGAAGCCGGAAGGTCTGTCAGTTGTTGGCACGCCGAAGCGCTTGAAGACAGCAGCCCAGCGGCTCCGGAACGCATACGACATAAGGCGAGCAATCGAAGGAAAATTCTGGAAATTGTTTCAAACATTTTAACATGCTGCCGCTGCATGTAACGATAATGCTCAAAGCGGGCAGAATCGGGCAGAGCTTTGATTGTTCCGGAGAGAATGTATTTCGATGAACCAATGCAAGACGACGGCCTCCCGTAAGCAACCAAGACGGTGCGAAGCACGAGTCCCGAGGAGCTCACGTGCCTGGTCCACTCGCCTGATTGAACGGCGGCGAGAACGCCCGCGATTCTCCATAGTAGGTGTGCTGGGCCCACGTTCCTGGGCTGTCCGACTCCGGACTAGTGGCAGACGCGAACTGTTCGGAGCGCGGTGTGGGCACAGCAAACATGGCATCGATGCTTCTGTCAGCCATGTCCATAGCTAGTGAGCCGGATAGCGCGTTGGCTTCGTCCCCAGACAGCAGGGCGGCACGTCCAGGAGCGGGTGCTAATAGCTCCGACTCCCCAGGAAGCCGGTGGGCTGGCTTGCAGGGTTCGACTGCTGCCCCCGATTGTTGTGTCGGTCGTGGGTGGTCTGTGGGGTCGGTGTGGCTCTCGCGGTAAGCAAGGGCGAAACGCCCTCCATCTGCTCCGTGGACCCATCCGGACCATGCAGCTGAGGAGGCCGCTACTGGCCAGTCTTGGTACCATTGGTCATGGTGCTGTGGGGCTGCTGCTTGTTCAGTGTGGCTGTTGCCCCCCTTCTTGCGCCGCCGCCGCTGCTGCCACAGGGTCGGCCGAGGAGGAGGCTGGCTGTGGCTGTTGCTGACGTTGTTGTGCTGGCGGTGGCAGCGGTGGTGGCTGGGCAAGATCGCTGGCTTGCCAAACCTGCGTCGCGACCTCTTGTTCAAGCCAATTTGGCATCCACCCATCTGCCGTCTGTGTCCACGTCGTCCCCCGCGGCCCCCGCGGCCACTGTCCGGTGAGCGACTCTGGCTGTTGCGCGGGACTCGTCGTCGTTGTCGTCAGGTGGGCCTGGGACCCAAGTCTGGTAGCCCCCCGCCGGTTGTGGAAGGCCGGAAGGCCATCATGTCCATGTCGGCGCTGTCTCGTAGGGCTGAATTGCTCTCTGAGGCTCGGGCCGGTTGCTGCGGTGTGGCAGCCGCTTCTTGCTGAAGTGACACGTCACGCTGGAACTGTCATGCGCAGGCACTGAAAAGAACGAGAGCTCTTTCTGGCTGGCAGGTAAACATGCATGCAAAGCACGCGCAGACATGAAGTGCAGGCAACATGCAAACGGCAATGCTCTCCGGGTTATCGTGAAGGACTGTGCATAATAGTACGCGCAACTGCTGCTGGCGCTGGCTGTCTCTAGCTCTTTCAGGCGTCTGCCTTCACACATTTCCGCTGCTAGTTGAGGTGCCCCCTTGAAACTGACGGGTGAGCCTAGGACTGCGAGCGCTGCATCCCCCCCTCCCACTGCCCGTCGATTTGGAAGCGCCGTGGGTCGGCCTTGCTGCAGATAATGTGGGTTTTCTTCGGGTTGACGCGGAGGCTGTGCTGGCGGAGGATCCGCTCAAGGATATCCATGCTTGGGTTCTCCCCCAGAGGTACGTGTGGTCCATGAAAGCCCCCCCATGGTGGGGTGGGGGTGGAAGCCTGCAGTTTCCCCCACCTCTGTGCTGTTGCTGAAGAATAGGACCGGTGAATCGGGGAATCCCTGACGCACCCCGTTGGATTGCAGGATGAAGGTCTGCGTCCCCCCAGCTGCCACCTCAAGCCCCCGTGCCTCCAAAATGCGCCAACCAAAGGCAAGTCAGAAAGACTTGTTTGCGTCACGGAGTCGAAGGCCTTCTGCAAATCCAATTTGACTATCTAAAACGTCCCTCCCCAGTCACGGGCCATTCTGACTACTTTCCTCAGTGTGAGGATGAGCTCAATGAGCTCGGTTCCTTGTCGCCCGGGGCGGCCGACTGAAGGGGCCTGAGTGTGTATGTACAACGGCGCAGCAGCAATTAATTGCGCAATGGCCTTGAGGATCGCACTACTCAGAGTGATTGGCCGGGTCTCGGCCCAGTTCTGGGGCGCCACCCCCTTGGGAAGGAGGATCGCGAGGCCCTTTTCGACTGCCGCTGGTAATCCCCCCGTGTGTAAAGTGCATCATGGAGGGCTTCGTGCGAGATGTGATCTGGTCCTGTACATTTGTTCCCGAATGCTCTGCAGAAGGGTTCCCGTTTAAAAGGTTGGGGTCCAGGGGTCCAGCCCATGACCCGCGACCGTGGTTAAAGCGTTCGCGAAGCGTTCGCGAAGCGTTCGCGAAGCGTTCGCAAGCGTTCGCGTGTGACGCGAGGTGTGTCGCGTGGCGCTGTTAAGGGGCAACTCCACAGAACGCGCGTCCGGACTGCGTTCTGAATCCGCCAAAGGCGAAACTCCACAGTTAACGCGCGTCCCGACTGCATTCTGAATCCGCCAAGCTAAGGGGAAACTTCGCAAAACGCGCGTCCGACTGCGTTCTGAATCCGACACGACTGCGTTGTGAATCCGCCAAGCTAAGGGGAAACTCCACAGAACGCGCGTCCCGACTGCGTTCTGCATCCGCCAAGCTACGGGGAAACTCCACAGAACTGCGTTCTGCAGCCGCCAAGCTAAGGGGAAACTCCACAGAACGCGCGTCCCGACTGCATTCTGAATCCGCCAAGCTCAGGTGAAACTCCACAGGAGGCGCGCGTCCCGACTGCGTTCTGCATCCGCCAAGCTAAGGTGAAACTCCACAGGAGGCGCGCATCCCGACTGCGTTCTGAATCCGCCAAGCTACCCAGACCCCCGGGCGGATCCAAAAAGTAGATCCGCCATTTGTGTGTCCGAAGTGGAACCACTCCACTAAAAGTGGATCCGCGACCATTTTTTGGTGAAACAGCGAAACCTACAACTTGAGCAAAAAAAGCAAACGTGCAGAAATTTAACCAACAAATGTACCACACAGCACATTCTTCTGGTTTGTAGTCCAAAAGGTGGCGGCGGCAAGCAGTTGGTACTACTTGCACGGTTCATTATCGTTATTTTCACATAGTTCTGTGACTTTGGCACGGCGATAATTGAATATCGCTGAAATTCTAACGCTCATGGTGTTTGAGCCGAATTTGAGCCAAAATATTTAGTCTCTCCTTACTCTCCCCTCGTCTGTATATGACTGTATGTGAGATCGCGCTCATGGGGGTGGTTCGTTTCGGGTGGTTGGGGTTCGGGCGGCTTTGAAGGGCTTTCGGTGCTTCTCTATATCAATCGGGTTTGGGGGGTTGAGGGAACCCTGCAAACCCTGTTGCATGCCGAAATTCCCGAGCATAAAGTGCGGACTGAATTGCATGCCTCAGACCCTAATTAGATTATGACTTGTTGATGTTTCGTTGGGAGCTGGGCTTTTGGGGGCAAAAAGCTTGGGTCAGCTAGACGTGTGTTGGATTTATAACTGCAGAAGCTTTGGGCTTGAGGATATTCGATGTGAAGACAGAAGGTTTGGGACTTTGGGATTTTCAAGGCCAGAATACCCGAGACCTGAAATCTACACCCTTAAACACCCCTAAACCCTAAACCTCCGACCCTAAGCTCTTCCCTTAACCGTTGAGCCTAAACACCCCGAAAAGCGCTAATCCTTAAACCATAACTCCTAAACCCTTATAACTCTAAATATCGCCAAAACCCATAAACCTTAAATCCCTATCCCCGTAAACCGAAACCCTTAACTAAACCTTCCAACCCTCCCGGCTCTTTCCGGTCATCGGTGATCCACGACGATCTGCGGTCGACTCTTGGCAGGGCCCGGCTCTTTGAGCTTTATTTCAGTGATATCGGTTACTTTTGGGAAGAGTACACCCACAAACAGTTTATACATTACGAAAGCTCGAAATAAGCTCTGCTCTGCGGGAGATGCATTGTACACTAAGTCGTGAAGCCGCATCTGAACCATCGAGAATCCAGCATCTCCTTGTTTGTGGTTTGCGGGAATCAAAACGACAAGCCTAGACGAGCTAAGCCGACCCAGCAGTGACCATCAAATCCCAAAATATTCTCAGGGAACCACCAAGACTCGTGATTTGTTTCTTCGGCCCATCCGACCACAGCCACAGTCCTTTGTTGGTGTAGAACTAAGATCAAAGGTAGCGTTCGAGGTTTTGGAGCTCCAGATCGTTCAGATTTGTTGGGGTATTCAGGACTGGTCACCTAAACCTGAAGCCCTAAAGCCGAACCCTTAGCATTGAAACCCCAAACCCGAAACCTGTTCCCAGAATCTTTTCAAGCCCTTGAGCCCCAACCCCTAAACCTTAAACCCTAGACCTTAAACCCTGCACCCCCGACCCTAAACCCTAAGCTCTTCAAAAGAGCAAAGCGTGTGGCAAGCCTTCTCTTATTTTTCCAAGCCCCTAAACCTGGGACCGAAAGCATAACCGAGAAGCTCGGCCACAAGGGTTCGATCGCACCCATCCGTGCCTCGGGCCGGTTCTCGTTCATGTTATATGTCATCATCATAGGAACTGGTTTAACAAAAACGGCATCAAATCTAAGTGGATGCCGATTTAACAGGAAGACCATGGGTCTGTTGCATTTCAAGGATTGCAGAGCTGGGAATAATGCGGCGAAGCTGCAGAGTAAGCGACACGGCAGCAATTCAGAACTCTTCAGAAAGCATACTCTCGAGCATCTCCAGCTTCCGATAAACCGCCAGAGCCCAGTTTCGCCTATGAACTGAACGACACACTTTAGCAATGGCACCATTGTAGCTCTCATCGATGTAAGTTGAATAGCACCGGGGATTGCCTCTCACATTGGCCTGAGCCACGAGGTGGAACATAAGATGCCCTTTCGGCAGCAGAGGCACACCAGCCCGTGAGCAAAGCACAATGAATCGATGATAGTTCTCGTGCAACGAATCACATGCATCGGTAGGAAACACTCTAGTGTGGCTGGCCATAACACGATCGAAAGCTTCAGCTGCCCTTCCCGCCCGAAGGAGAAGATCAAACATGTGCGATTGCTCACAGTTTTGCAGAACAGTCTTGTATTTCTCCAGCGTCTCAACAGCGAAGCGAAGTAAGCCATGTGTTTCAGCAGCTTTGCACTTCAATGCTTTCTCAGCAAGCATCGTGAGAGTAAGATTCCAGACCTGCAGCCACACGAAGTATGAGCACTAGCGGCCTAGGGTACAATAGATTCCACCGAGCTGTACAAAATACCCTAAGTAGTTGTATACGGTAGCTACATGGATAGGTCACTACTTGATTTCTTACGAGACACAAAATACTATGTGTTTTTTGGTGATTTGCTACCCCGCCTCCGAACCTTTTTTGCTCCATTCTGGGTCGGTGGCACGTCTGTGCTTGTAAAACACCCACATTTCTGCTTTCAGAGCCATCAAACACAGCTTGTCGTTCTCTTCCTTGTCCAGAATCACTGTATTGCCGGGCTTGTATATATCCGTAGACAACAAAGCACGAAGAACGAATGTCAGATACGTAGACAGAGGCCCATAATGCCAGGAATGCAATATGTCGATGCACCAAGAATCCAAACTCACTCCGGGGATTTGCAAAAGAGGAGAGATGTGCAACACACGGGCGTGCTGGCCGCCCACGAAAAAAAGGCATTCGAACGGGCACTCCTGAGTTTCGAACGATCCCACATCAGGTAATGCTGTCGAAGGCTCCAGTCTTGCCATTTTGGGAAGACCTAGCTGAGGGAATGCCGCCTGCAAACACCGTCCACGGCCTTTTTTGTTTCGAAAGCACAGCAGTTTCGTTATCTGCCGATGAACATGTTCATCAGGAATCGTAATTTCCTGCCGGCTGCAAAACACATCTTTGTCTATGTCGCCGGGATATTGTCTAGAATCTAGAGGCCCAGCAGTAGCACAATAATCAGTCGCATAACCACAAGCATAAAGGTTTAAAATACTCCTAGGGTTTTGTTATATTTGGAAACAAAGGTCCTTGAAGTTCTTGGCCAAAGTCGCTTCGTACTTCTTCTCATCGAACAGCGGGAATGCACAGGTTCTTGCAGTGAAACCTTCGAGGTTGTCCATCTCGCTTTTTTTGACTAGACAACAAGGGCAGGCGTGCAAGCTGTGCGACCACGTTCTCAAAGCAGCTATCTCCACCAATGCAGCCCAATCAGCTTTGAAGTCTATGATCGGTAATCTCAAGTCGGCGTGTTTTGCACTCAAATCTTGTCTGAATGCCTCCAACAGTGGAAACACGGAGCACCATCCGCTGCAGCCACAGCCACAAAGCTCCGATAGTCCTGCTTTGCTCGTTCCCACCCAATTCATATACACATATCTTTTTCCTATACATACAAACACACATACCTACACATACATATGTGCATGCACATGCACCTAGACCTATCCCACCTATACATATACCTAGACATGTTCATAAACATAGACACACACATGTATATATATATATATATGTATATATATATACATATCCATATGTTACATACCAAGCATGCATACATACATGCATGCATACATACATATACATGTGCATATTTAACTAAAAACATACAGGTTTCTACTGTTGTCGAGGTACTCAGCAACCAGACCAACCTTTGTGTTTTTGTACGTAGATTGGTGACATAGAATCCCAAGAAGTTCTCATTCTTGGAATATTGAATATTGGACCCCATCAAAGTACACGGATAGCGGCACAATGTGTTCTCGTTTGAAACCCTCACGAAGGGCTTCGATCGTGATACAATGGCGTTCGTAGAGATCCCCGAACTCTTCGTCGGATTTTAGAAAATCTTGCACAGCAGCGGGAGATTCAGATCCAAGGATACCAAGGTCGATCAACTCCTTCCGTATCATCGCCGAAGTGACACGGGTGGGGTGCTGCACGATGACCCTCCCCACGGATTTCTTCAAATACATGGGAACAGAAACCATCTCCACAATGGGTTCCGGGAACTCTTTAGCCAGATGACACCTGGGAAGGGGGGGGGTGTAATGATGGGTTGAGGATTTAGGATAACTTTTTAAGGTGGCACCCATACAATGAAGTTTGCAGAAACAAAGCATTTTTTCGTAAAGGCCCCAACCTCAAGTGTTCAGCTCCGTGGCGGGCCGCAGTCCGCGGGTGCAAAGCCAGATCCTCAGCACCTCCGCCTCCTGACTCGTTGTGCCAGTAAGCAAGCTGGCAGGTATCCGTTGCCGTAGCAGACCCATCTAAGTATTTTTCAATCAGAAGACGTCGAAACTTCTTAGCAGCCTCGATATTCGAACCTTCATCAATCAAGGGGTCTTGACATGCATCGGGCACGGCAAAACTGGAACCCCTGCTTTGCTCTGCAGCACGAGCACGTTTGAAGCTCATGCAAAATGCATCCCATGTTCCATCGTGACGGTCTCATATCCTAGATACAACACTAAACGAGCTACAGAAGTAAGTGCTTGGCCCTAGAAACTAGTACACACAACATACACAGGTGTCTAGATCATGTGCTTAAAGGACCATACGACTAGACTGCATGCACAAGTGTACCTACCATATGTTTCCATCGCACATACATACACGGTGCGTGCGGGAGCCCAAGCTAAGCAATCCTGCGTACATTGCATCAAGCTCTCAGCGTTACTGCATCGGCAGCTGCTGTGCATCATGGTCACAGCAAATGATGTTTCGAAGAGTTTCCCCGATGCTCCAAGCTCAGCACAAGCTTTTTTGTGTGAGACACTGTACGTGAGACCCAAGCCACACAAGCAGCATATGGAATCCTCGCAAAGCAAACTTGCTTTCTTTGGCCCTCGACTAGGTGGGAACCTTTGACCTCAAGGTAGAAGTGAGGCTTTTTCTCAAACCCTAAAGCAAAGCCCTAAAACATAACGGCGTATAAAACCCAACCCCGGAGCGTGAGCCCTAGATCCTAAACCCGCACGTGAGCCGTAAAAAAAAATAGCTTATCCCAAACCCCGAGCCCAAGCCCAAAAAAGAACCGCTCATCCTAATTCCCGAGCCCACACCCTAAAAAAGAACATCTTACTAAAAAAGGTTAGCTTATCCTAGTCCCCGAACAGAAGCCCTAAAAAAGAACAGCTTATCCCAAACCTAAGCCCGAGGTCCACACATGCTGCTTGTGGCACTACCCAGCAACTTCAAGCATTCAAGCCTTGGACTCCCCCGGCAGCAACTGCAAGCTTAATACAAGCATAAGCTTTGAAGTACCCTAAGGCCCTAAGACTTTAAGCTTGATCCAAGGCTTGGCAGCCTAAGCAGAGGTGATGCTGGCAGATGAGGCCGCCCGTTTGATTCTCTGGGTTTTGGTTTTCTTCTCGGGCTGAGCAACTAAAGAAGCACTGGCATTTGCCTTCGCTACAGACATCAGACTGATTTGCGAGCTAGCTTCCTGCATAGCAAGGATTCGAGGGCCTAAGGTGCTCACGAAATCGCAGAGTTTCGGGAGATACTGATCTTTGTAATCCTTCTTGACTTTCTGTAGCTCCTTCGCCGAAAGCACGGCCACTTTCATGGCCTGAAAGAACGGGTTCTCCGCGTAAGCCTGGAGCACCTGCACCCGGCAATCCTTGTAGTTCTTTACGAACCCACTCGCCCAAGCCCACGATGCGGCATCACCCTTGCCCATCTCGATCGTGATCATGCTCATGGCGTTGTCCGAGGACTGCTCCTGGGCGAGCAGCTCCTTCACCTCCTTTTCCTTCTTCGAAGCAAGGTTTGAGCCGCCGTTGCCCCGTGGCTTCTTTTTGTTGCCATTCTCCTCAACTGTAGCTGGAGGCTCCTCGCCCCCAGGCCCACCACCAACACCGGACTCCTCCGGCGAGGCCCTCTTCTTGCCCCCTTTGGCAGCACTGCCGTCACCTCCCGGCTTTGGGAGGGCCGCTGGCGTCCTTTCGAACAAAGCGGCATACCCTTGCACTCCGAGCTCGGAGTTCCTCACATCATCCTCGCTGACGTCCACCAGCCGGGTGCCGGTTTCTACGGCGTAGCACCGCATAGCCTTGGAGATTTCAACCTTCTCCGCCCGAACCTGGGATCGTTTCCGTGCACTCCACGGAGACTGTGGATCGCCACTCTTGCAGGTTGGAGGTCGAAGTAAGGTGCTCAACCCACAGGTATGTGTCAACGTTGAGCCACTTGTTGAAGCACACACAGTACTCCTGATAGGGGGGGGTGTGGTTGTCTGGGGCATCGGGGTTTAGATGCTTAAGGCGTTCAGGGGTTTAGGGGTTTAGGGGTTTAGTAGTTGGGAGCATAAATAGCTCGGACTTAGGATAAGTTCTTGGGCTGTGGTTCTATGGTGGTGCTTCAAGGAGACACTAAATTTACTTCAAGGTTTTTTGCAAAGCTTAGTGATCGAAGCCAATCTGATATTACGGTTTTTTGCAATAGTCCTTCAAGTCTGCACGGTTGCACATGTCGATATAATGCTGGGCTTGCTGAACGGCGGCTGGCTGATCAGTGCCACCCAAAATCTGGGTGATCTGAAGATGGGTTTTGTAAGTTCCCACGTCCTCCCGCTTCTTCCTGTAGGTATTCTCCGTGGTTTTGACCGTACGAACGAATTCGAAGTCCTTGCTCACACTCCAGGCCTTCCGGAATTCGCCCTTGAAGGAGTCTAGCATCAGACCATACATAGCTTTCACGTCTGGTTTGTGCTTTAGGGCTCGGGTCATCGCTTGACCCGTGGAAGATCGGGCTGAGGTGTCCATTCCAACAGTCGCCCAATAGGTAGCTCCTTCAGCCGAAGCCTGAATCACCTCGATGGTAACATCTTTCGGATCCCTATTGTAGTGCGATGCGTAGTTGGCGATTGCTTTGGCTTTGGACTCGGAGGTCATATTCGGCGCTGCGGCGGCTGGCGGAGCTGCGGCGGCCGGCGGCGGAGCTGCTGTGCTGCCGGGATCGGCGGCCACGGGTGCCTCTTGGGGGGAATCAACTAGGGTGTCGGTTTGGGTCTCGCGACGATCCATGGCAGACATTGCTGTGCTCTGGCACAGCTATATAAGATCTACCTAGCCACCGCAAAACCTACTGCTGTACTTCGCCTCGAGACATAGTAGATCGCAGCAACATATCGGATCGAGGCCTTAAGTGGAACCTCCGGTTGGCTCTGCGTGATCGCAACACTAGCAATAATTGGTCTAGATAGCATGACTTTGGGCGTCGTTTGGGCTCCTAACACCTCATCACACCTCATCGGGGGGCTCATCGGGGATCTACTTTGATACCTCATTCTCTGCGTTGCTTACTTATAGGAGCAGACAGCACTTATCATATCCTATGGGGCTCATCGGGGGGCTCATCGGGGATCCACTTTGATACCTCATTGTGGGCTTCAGCTCTTACAGGAGCTGCTTCTCGGTAGATCAGCACAATCCACACAAATCGGCAGTTTGGTACGTTGCTACTCGAACAGCACTACATTGGTACGTTGCTACTCGAAAAGCAGCATACGGGGCTTTTGTAGTGATTTTGCAAGACCTTCGACTGGTCGTCTTAAAAACCCTTGGTGGGCTGGTGGGATGCCTCGAGGCCGGCAAAGTAGAACCTTTAGTCTAGATCCAGCTGTAGGTCGTGTGTACTCGATCGACAGGTATATATATATATATATATAGATATATAGATATATATATATATATGTATTTATATTTAGTAGATGTTTTATTGTTTTTTATATTATATCACTATATATATAATATTAAATATGGTTATATATGCTAGTACCGATATATATATAGATATAAGTATATACCCTCCCTCTATTGTACGAAGCATCTATTACTTCAAAGCCTTTCAAAACGGAGCTATATGTGTCTATTTGTTCATTCATACTCATAATATGTATATTGTATTCTTTTCGTAGAACCCATATAGCTATATAGCTATATACATACTCTATATAATTATACAGGATCCTACCAATTGCGTAGACGAAGGTTCTACTTGTGGATCCAATAGACAAACGGAGGTTCTACTTTTGGATCCAAAAATGACAGAATCGCAGCATTCTAGATTCTAGATCCCAAAACCCTGTGTATACCGAGGAGTCCAGCGGGAAGATCGGTGGTCGAAGATCCAGGGTTTATAAGCTTAGGGTTTATATAAGGGTTTCTCGCGGGTGGTGAATTCTTGCATTCTAGAAATTGGATCCTATAGTATTGGAATATATAATATCTATATATATATATATATATATATAATTTATAATATGCAATAATGATAATAATCTGCAATATATTATAAACCAATACTATAGGATCCAGTTTCTAGAATGCAAGAATTCAGATGCTGAGGCTCTACTTCTAGATCCAAGACGGACAGATCATTATGATCTAGATCCCAAGGGCCTGGGGTGGGAGGATTGATCAAAGAGCAGGGCCCAGGCTTAGGGTCTATATATGGGGCGTGTGTATTTAAGGGTCCGAGTTTCTTGTGTAGCGACCGGAGTCTACAGTGCAGACGGGTTTGGTTTCAACAAATCAGCATTGGTTAATTATTCGGGCTATGGGCTACCTTATCTCGATCAAAGAACACCTATATATACCGATAATGATCGAGCGGCACTACTCCAACCGTTAAGTTAACAGGCCGAGGGCTATGTGCACACAGCCATCCTAGAAGCCTCGAAGGTCATCCCTTCTGACAAGACAATGAAGCAGAATCTCACATCCTGCATTCGTCAAAAGAGCAGCTGCAAGATTATATCGACGGAGACGATTTTTGCTTGGGCCAGGCTATTGAGGGTTAGTACGTTGTACATAAGCAAAGGGTTGGCGGGTAAGGCAGTTATCAGGGCAATAGCTACGTCGGTTACCATAGCTTGTACTCACAGCTGCTGCAGCTCAGGAAAATGGCACGATGCTTCGAAGCTGGCACGGCCACCCAAACTATTGCATCGAGGACATCCATCTAGGAAAAGACCGATAGGTTAGCGTGGGTGCACATAGAGTGTAAGTGCTTTAACACTTAGAACCTCAATGACCTTACCCCTACCATACTTCAACCTTAAGCCCTAAGCTTGTAGTCTGTGGTGGCAAACTGACTGATGCACCAGCTCTTCGTCGGAGGTGTCGCTGAATCCACTGGGACAAAGTTTCAGGTATTCGGGTTTCGGGAGATACGGCTGTTCTAGCTCTAGTACAATAGATGATTGGCCTGCGAGGAGCACGGCAAACTGGCGACTTCCCCGATCATGCACATCGACTGGCAACTTGCTACTGAGGGTTCGGGCTCTGCGGGTGTGTCTGGATATTTCGGGGCCTTGCTTTCTACTCGTCTTCTTGAAGCAGCAAGTCAGAAGCGAGCCGTGCGAAGCCTGGGCGAGTTATTGGTACAGGGAATCTTTGGTTTGGGGATTGCGATTTTGGGGTTTAGAGTATTGCTTTAAGGTTTTGTAGTTAGGTATATCGAAGCCCAGAGAATTTAATTGTAACACTGACAAGAAACAGTCTAGGAACCTTCGTGCTGCTCCCCTGGCTCCACTGCAGGGTCATGTTCATGACCTTCCTCTTCGTCACCTTCTCCCTCATCATCATCATCATCATCACATTCATCAGCATCATCTCCCTTAGCCGGCTTCGGCCCATCCTCCGCGATCTGAGTCTGGGCCGTCTTCTGCATCTTGATAGGCGAGTCGTTCGGCCTGGGATCGGGTTTGTATAGGTATGCATCCTTGCATCTTGGGCTTAGGGTTGAGGGTTTGGGGTTAAGGGTTTGGGGTTTAGGGTTTGGGGTTTAGGGTATGTATGTATGAACGTAAATATGCATGTATGAACGTCTCTATGTATGCATGCGTTATTTGTGTGAGCGGTGAATACGTATTCAATTCCTCGGATATAGACTATGTTATGTTATGTTATGGTATGTGTGCATCTAGGTACTTAAGTATGTGTTCATGCAGGCATGCATGCGTGAATGCGTGTGTGCGTGTGTGCGTGTGTGCGTGTGTGTGTGTGTGTGTGTGTGTGCGTGTGTGTGTGTGTGCGTGGGTGTGTGTGTGTGGGTGTGCGTGGGTGTGCGTGGGTGTGCGTGGGTGTGCGTGGGTGTGCGTGGGTGTGCGTGGGTGTGCGTGGGTGGGCGTGGGTGTGCGTGGGTGTGTGTGTGTGTGTGTGTGTGTGTGTGTGTGTGTGTGTGTGTGTGTGTGTGTGTGTGTGTGTGTGTGTGTGTGTGTGTGTGGTGTGTGTGTGTGTGTGTGTGTGTGTGTGTGGTGTGTGTGTGTGTGTGTGTGTGTGTGTGTGTGTGTGTGTGTGTGTGTGTGTGTGTGTGTGTGTGTGTGTGTGTGTGTGTGTGTGTGTGTGTGTGTGTGTGTGTGTGTGTGTGTGTGTGTGTGTGTGTGTGTGTGTGTGTGTGTGTGTGTGTGTGTGTGTGTGTGTGTGTGTGTGTGTGTGTGTGTGTGTGTGTGTGTGTGTGTGTGTGTGTGTGTGTGTGTGTGTGTGTGTGTGTGTGTGTGTGTGTGTGTGTGTGTGTGTGTGTGTGTGTGTGTGTGCATGTCCTTATCATGTGCATGCGAGAGTGCATTTACGAACATGCATGAAGTATGTATGTGTGTCTGCGAGAAAGCTTTGCATGTGTGTGCTTTGTTTTTAAGAAGGATGTGTCGATCTGTGTTAGGCACACGGATCATGGGGGTAGCCAAACCCGGAAAACCTTGCCAAAAAAACATAGCTCAAGCTGCGACTTCGGGAAGTGCTTCAGGCCAAGCTTATTCACGGTTTGCCAGTCCAAAGCCGATGTTTCCCAATCGTGCTTGTGAGCCAGCAAAGAATCCCTACAGCCCCTGAAGTTCAACTGCCCGGGATTCAGATTCATGTACACATAAGCGTCGGCGAAGCTCTTGGCAACGTTCATGGCCTTCTGCACACTGAGGTCAGATTTGATGACCAACTGCAGCTTCTGCACCCACCTGGAATGCAAGTCGCCGCGATCTTCACGTGCCTCGATCTTGATCAAGGGGTTCTTGGAGCCCTGAGTGCAATACTTGCAGCGGATGATCGGATAGACATAATCGTCCACTGGCTTGGGCTGCGGTTTTGCTTTCGGCACAGCCTTCTTTTTCGCTTCCTTTCGCGAGGGATTCGCTGGCATAGAGGGATCGAGATCACTAGGGACAAGGTGAGGAACACTCCACAACAAGCCACCGAACGAGACCTTAACCTCATCATCTTTGTCCACGAATGGAGTGGAGGATATGATAACCCCCTCTTTTTTTTGCCAGCAGGCCTTCCCCAACTCAGGGTTCCACTTGATGTCGCCGGTGGCCTTGGGCTTCTCGGATCCGTCGGCCTTCTCGTTCTTCTCCTCGGTTTTGTCGGGGTCCTTCTTGTTCTTCTCCTCGGCTTTGTCGGCGTCCTTTTGGTTCTTCTCGGTTTTGTCGGCCTCCTGCTTGTCGGTTGTATCGGCGTCCTTGTTGTTCTTCTCGGTTTTGCGGGCTTCCTTCTTCTTGTTCTTCTTCTCGGCTTTCTGGAGCTTCTCGGCGTCGTCGGTCTTCTCGGCGTGGTCGGTCTTCTCGGCGTGGTCGGGCTTCTCGGCGTCGTCGGGCTTCTTGTTCTTGGCGTGGTCGGTCTTCTCGGCGTGGTCGGGCTAAGGGAGAATCTTGCTTCGGATCACGTTGTAGGGTTGGGGTTTAGGATGTGGTTTCGTCTGGAGTTTGAAGGTGTAGCTTCTTGTCGTTCGGGATTTAGGCTTTCAAGTTTTGCGGGATGTTCGGAGGGCTTTAGGCTTTAGGCTTAGGCCTCTCCGGAGGCAAGAATACCAACAATTCTCATTTCATTCCAGGAAGGGTTGGAGCTGTGCACATAGCCGTAGCCATCGTTGCTCCATCTATGAACAGGGTTGCTTGTCAAGCCGATTTTAAAGCAGCAGCTGGAAGGCAGGCCCCGGATCACCAAGTTCGCACGTTCAAGTATTTTGCTCGCCAGTGTTTGCGAAGGCAACAGGTCAAGCTTCAAAGAAGGTTCGGCCATAATATCTTGGATCAAGCCCTTCAAGCGAGGTAGCTCAGCCAGGTGTTTTGGCACTCGAAGCTTCCAATAGTTGTCGGAAACACAACGAACGACTGAACCAGTCTTCTCCCAAACAGCTCCCTGGGGACGTGCGGCGATGGGGACGACGGGAACTTCCAGATGGTCTGGTGGTGCCACCAATTCTTAGATGCAATTAGCCCCTAAACCCTAAACCCTTCCCTGAAGAAATACCCGCATATGCACACACACACACACACATGAGTGTTCTGATGCAGACTGCGAGGGTCTCCGTCGTTGTCTCTCTCTACCGTAAGCCAGCAGCTCCGTCAACCAAGCTTCCGAGTCGTCGAAATCATTAGGCCCAGATGCTGATTCGCCCATGCACAAGTTCGCCATGGCACATGGCAATGCATAAACTTGTTGAAATGCTCTCTGATTAATCTAAATATCATGCAAGCGGATGAGGGGCTGCACTGTCTGGCTTTGCAGAGCAACAAATCCTGCGTAGTTTTGAAGCCCTGCACCAGCAAGCCTTCCAAGCCCGCAAACCGTCAAGGAGCCCAGCACGAATCATTGACCCTGACTACCCCAGAAAGCCTGAAGCTCACGACTCAACACCGATTCCGAAAATGTGTCAAGTAACTCGCACTGCCAGCGGATGGATCCTGACCCAGATCTCCACCCATCATGCCCTCCAAGGTATTGAGGAACCAGTCGTTCGCCATGAAGGCGGCCGCCTCTTCCTTTATTGTGGGCTCGGATCGTTGCTAGGCTGGAATTGCAAGTGTAGCAACTGAAAGATGAATCGGCAATGGTTCCATTTATAATTTCTATACGAATGGAGCAGTAAGGCTAAATCATCCAGAAGTCAGACAGACCCTGCTGATTTCTGCTGATGCTGCTGCTGCTGCTGCTAAGCTTCAATGGATTCTGGTCTTGGGGTTTGTTTTGTTCCTGGGCATCGGCTTGTGGGCTGCTGCTTTGCTGCTGCGGATGCTCCTCCTGGGGCTTGCTTGTATCCTCATCCTCGGAACAGACTTCTTGTTTTTTTTTGCCTGCTGACTGTCATTTTGCGAAATGCTGCTGCCGCTACTGCTGCTACTGCTGCTGCTTGACGTGCTGTCGTTGCTTTGCCCTGTATCAGAAGCATCACCGGTTTGCTGCTCTTCGCCCTTAAGATCATCCTGTTCAGCGGGCTCCGGCACCGTAGCCGCGACTTTCGCTGCCCCGTCTGGCTGTTTCCCCTTGACCCTCCTACGGCCAGAAGGAACATCCGAAGGCAATCTCTTCAAGGGCTTGTGCGCCTGATGGGGGCCGGCTAAAAACCCTAAACCAAATCCTCCAGAAACGTAACGATATCCAAAACATATGGTGCCTTTGGGACCCATTCCCTTCCACGAAGGGTAGCTTGAGCATAATGTCGGAATGCCGCACTGAGTCTCAAGGAGTTGGTTGTCGACCATGCATCCCGATCGGACTCATTAATCTGCTCGGCCAAGTGCTGCTTGTCCTCCCATTATTACAGCAATATGTAATATGTATTGTAGGTAGCACTCAGTAGTCTCAGGATAGGACAGGATAGGACCTCTAAAAAAATCCAAAATGTTAGTAGCTGCGGTCCTCTTTCTTCAATACTGCTAGCAGTGCCTTCTTGATAACAGTATCCGGAAAGTTCCACGCGGGGCTCAGCATTCTGCAGCTGTTGAAAATGCCCTGAAACAACCTCGAATCGCACAATTGTATTAGCAGCAATCCAAATAAGGAAAAGCCTCTTATATTTAAAACCAGGAAAACTCAGAAGGCTGTGCTAACTGTACATCCCAGTGTGCGAAGAACAAAGCTTCTTCTTGTCCATGGTTTTGATCGCACGATCAGTGGTATAGTTTGTGAAGAACCGCTTCTCTATGAAAGGGCTCAGTGCATCAGCCAACTGCTTCACATCCTTGAAACCCACTCGACTCTTGCGACCAGGCTCATCATCGCTTTGCACGGCCGCCGCCCTCGCCGCCGGCTTCGCCCGCACCGTCTTCTTCAAAGCCGATGGCCGCTTCATTGCGGTAATGCAACCCTGAAGTAAAGCCTGAACACTTCCGAAGCTGCTTGGACCCTCAGCCCAGGATATTTCTGAAGTGCAGCACGACTACGGCAACCGACTACCTGGGTTTGGGATTTACTTTTCAGGGTTTGTAGTTAAGGGTCTCCGCTGTACCGCCTACAGCGAGCAGAACCCGAGCTAGCTGTTGTAAAATCGACTTGCAGCCCGATCTGAACCAGATCCACAGGTGGAACACTGAACCTGAAGCCGTATAGGCATATGTAAAATGTAACCTGCAGCGAAGTCCAAAACCCTATCTGCACACCATTCCGAGACCCTCCCCTGCAAAGCTGCCCCTGTCAGCCAGAGCAGTTGCCGGCCACGGCTTTCGTAACAACGACAAATGAAAAGACGACGAAGACGACGACGACGACCTAAAATGACGAAACTTTCGGGATTCGTGGAATATCGCCTGTGCAGGACTAACTTTCTGTCGCTCCGTTCGAGAACTACTACAATTCACTGATAACTATAATAGTTATATATATATATATAATATCAGCCCACTATATTTGTGTATTTGCAGCTGCAAACACCTGGCTGTCAATGGTTTCACGAGGTTCGAGTGTTCACTGCTCTAGATTTAAAGGTCTGGTATTAAGGTCTTGAACTTTAGGGTTTTACGGTCCTCTTTTTTGTCTTCTCCGCACCCATTGAGCCAAATGATTACTTGTAGGGTCTTAGGGATTTTTTTCTTCTCCGCACTCATTATTGAGCCGAATGATGATTTTTTTGGCATGCAGAGCCTTCTTGGCTACTTTTGTACAAGACCTACCCAGAACGGCATTTTCCCGCGACACATCAATTTCTAGAACCCCCTGTGCAAAAGTAGATCCGCAGACAAATGTGGATCTAGAAAGTAGATCCGCCCGGGGGTCTGGGTAAGGGGAAACCCCACAGGACGCGCGCCCCGACTGCGTTCTGAATCCGCCAAGCTAAGGAAAAACTCCACAGAACGCGCGCCCCGACTGCGTTCGGAATCCGCCAAGCTAAAGGGGAAACTCCACAGAAGGCGCGTCCCGACTGCGTTCTGAATCCGCCAAGCTAAGGGGGAACTTTACAGTGACGCGAGGCGTGTCGCGCAGCGCTGTTAAGGGGAAACTCCACAGAACCCGCGTCCCGCCTGCGTTCTGAATCCGCCAAGCTAAGGGGGAACTCCACAGGAGGCGCGTCCCGCCTGCGTTCTGAATCCGTCAAGCTAAGGTGGAACTCCACAGGAGGTGCGCGGGGGAAGTCCTCAGGAGGCGTGTTCCGCGTGTGAAAATCCACAGAACCTATAGGTGGAACTCCACAGGAGGCGCGCGTCCCGACTGCGTTCTGAATCCGCCAAGCTAAGGGGGAACTCGTTAAAGGGAAGCTCCACAGAACGCGCGTCCCGACGCGTGTCGCGCAGCGCTGTTAAGAGGAAACACAGAACCCGTGTCCCGCCTGCGTTCTGAATCCGTCAAGCTAAGGGAGTTCCCACAGGAGGCGTGTTCCCTGCGTTCTGAATCCGTCAAGCTAAGGGTGAAAAACCCGCGTCCCGACGGCGTTCTGAATCCGTCAAGCTAGTGAGGAACTCCACAGGAGGCGTGTTCCGGCAGCGTCCCGACGGCGTTCTGAATCCGTCAAGCTAAGGGGTAAACCCAGAGGACGCGAGGCGTGTCGCACAGTCAAGCTATAATCAATATGCTCGTTTGTAGGGTTGGATCCGCGGGGGCTGGATCAGTGGGCTTGGCAAAAACCAAAGTTATCAAAATCAGAAGTCAACCTGAACAAAGACTTATTGGATACGTTACGACACGGTAGGTTTGTCCAGAATTAATGTAACTGGAGATTTGCAGACACTGAAAATTGTTGAGAAAACCATGAAAAAATGTAGTATTATTTCTGTCCAAGCCGGTGTGTGAACAGAGCAACCGGAAGCTGTGCCATTCCAGTGACTCCTTGCACCGACATTGGCACGTCGGGCAAGGTCACACTAGATGGCTGGCCTTTGTGTCCCCAAGCAAGGAAACTTGATGGCTCTTCGGGTGAGAGCCCGGCAA